CTACATTTTCCAATGCTCAAGCTATGATGGAAGGTGGATAAATATAAAAATTTAAAATTTGTGGTTTTTGAAAAAAAAAAAAAAAAAGTAAATCAGACTGACGAATCTTGAGTTTGTGTTGTGTTTTCTTATGGTTTGGTTCCTATCTTGTCTATGATTAAGTTGATCACTTGAATTGACTTTCCTGTTGTTTTTATGTTGCGTTAGCTAATCCTAACACAGTGTTGGTGCTGCTGCATCTACGGCAACCATTGTTCCTGTTTTTGGTTCATTTCCACTGTAATAATTTTCATTTAAAGTCAGTACGCAAAGAGGCTTGAAGCATCATTTTAGCTATCTCTGCGCTTTGACATGGTGGGTGAACTCTGCTCTTAATTTTTAGTATTGCTAAAGGGAAACCAAATGCCTCTAATGTTACATGAACTGTAGCAATAGGGAATCACTAAATATTTATGCCTTAATAAATTGTAGTAGAGATGTCTTTGACAAAATGTATTATTCTGTCCAATAATCATTGCAATGTTAAAAATCCACACAAAATACATACAGAATGTTCCCCTGCAGTTGGGTTTAATCTTACGCTAAATACGAAACCAGAAACTAACTGGAGTTGTGATGTTTTTCTTTCTTATTTATTTACCATAGATGAACCAAAGCGCTTCACTGTGGTCTCACTCATCCATTCATGTGCACACTCACAAACTGTAATGCTACAGTAACCATGCAAAGTGCTGGCCTGCCTGCAGCTCCAGCATTTCATCCAAAGACAGCTTTGGCATGTGGAGGATTTGGAGGAATAAATCACAGAGCAGCACCTGAGCCGCGGTTTGCCACGACGCGTGGATGTGCTCCAGTTATGCGTTTGAAAAAGTGCAGCGGGTGACGTAGAGGATGATGGATGATGACGGAATTTCCCACAAAGAGAAATTTATGAAAATTAAAAAAAAAAAAAAAAAAAAGTCCTCTCTTGGATGAGAAAAGAGACGTAAGTCACAGCTGAACGTTCTTTCCCGTAGTTTTCCCTGGGAGTCTCACTCAAAGTCCTTCTCGATTGTCACGGCTGTCCTCTTAAAACAGACGCTCATGCCAACACTCTCCTTGTCCTCACCTCTTCTTCTCCCCCGACTGCGCATCAGCTTACAGTACAAGCTCAAGCCAGGGAACACGCCAAAATTTCAAACTCAAGATGTCACAGAGCCATACTTGGTGCTAACCAGTCGTGGTATTATAAATTCTTTATGTGATAAGGCCGGCTTTAGAGCGCTGACTGCTGGTGCGTAAAATGCGATTCACTTCCAGGACCACTGTCTGGAGTGTGTGTCTGCTTGTGTAAAAGAAGGAACTGTGAATTTTTATTTTTTATTTTTTGCAGTGAGGTCTGCTTTCATGTCAAGCCAGAAACCTCAAGACAGCCTCAGAGTGCAGGCAGCTCTACCTCTCTATGCATCGCTCTAGCTTGCACCTACAATCCCAGGTCGAACAGAGAACATCGAGATCGCATACAGATATGTGGATCATTTCTTGAATAAATAAGTACATTGGAGTGCAACGGTTTTATTTTTTTCTTTTTAGAGTCTGGAATTGGTTGTGCAGAACAGGACAAATTAAGTAGTAATACATTTTCTGTGACTTATTGGCAGCAACATAAAAACAATTACATTCTGTGACATTTAGCGGATGTATATTTTTGTGGCTCCCACGATTAGTTGTGCGGTTGCACATATGCATTTCAGGATATGTTTGTGTAAATCAGTCATACGCAGGCACTGAGCTCTGGCCCTCTGTCTGAATTTCCCCCCTACAGGAGCACTGAAGTGAGAAAAGCCGGTCCTCGTGAGACCTGCCTCCAGCAGAGGCAATTATCAGAGCTCCGCTTGTGTCTCTAATCTGTGATGTTTCATCAGGAGAAAAACGATCATTACGGTCTATCCGTCTCTTCGGTCTTCATTCTGTGGTTAATTTTTCCTTACGTTACACACGTGTCCTGTAATTTACAACTCGTCAGTTCTTTCTTACTGAAGACATTTCACAAACGGATCCTGATTCCCACCATTTTTCCAACAAGAATATTTGCTAATGCGACTGTGTTTGTTGGCATGACACTCTGTGTTCAGTGGCATTAGCAAATATTGGCATACTTGGAAAAGACAAACAATGAGTCAGTGGTATAATCTTGTCACATTTATTTTGAAAAACAAAAACTACTTTTCATTTGAGAGCATTCATTTAGTGTGTATCAGGGAGACGGGGTCTGAACAATGCATGTTTACTTCCAGACGTCAGTAAAACTATACGTAGCGAGTTCTGGCCTTATAAATTGGTAGTTGGGTAATAATCCAGAATATATGAACAAATCATCACAGAAACGCACAAAATCAAAACTTTTTCATGCCCATGCAGGTGTGGATGCTATGGAAATGCTGTGGGGTGGACTAAATTACACACAAGACAAAGGTTGTGCAAAGAAGAATGGTCAAAGACTCCTCTCGCTGCATGCTCCAGCTTTCAAAGGTTATAGGAGAACACTAAGAGATGTCCTGGTGGCAAAATGGGGTCACACAGAGCAACCACAGCAAGGGCTTCAATTAATGTGGCTCTAACTGATAGAAATATATAAAAAAGGCACCCAAGATTAAGGCAAAATCTTTCTCAATTTTTTTAGATTATACTTCTGCAATAAAATATCAGTGTATTTAATCGTTTTTCAAACATCTATACAAGCAGAGCCAAAAACTGTGGAGCTTCACCCAGCAAATGGAAAGCAGGACCTTGGATGGGATGAAACCTGCCTGGGGCATAAAAAAGGAACATCAACACGTAGCAAAGCTGGTGTCTGTATCAAATTTGTCCTCAAATGCATGTATGATGTGATTATGAAAAACAAGTTTGTGTTGTTTTATTGGCTGGACTCGGACGACACAGCTGGTTTTCTCACGCTGCAGTCTGTCATTTACATTCGCAGTAACAAAGATTAACAGCCGAGTAACTGCGATGACCTTCCTCAAGCATTCACACCCCTCGAAAAGGCCGAACATATTGACAGTACGACAAACTTCATTAAGTTAATGAAGAACAGTAATACATGAACACCATCATGAAGAATGAGGAATGTAATTAACAGGACAAAGCAGTCAGTGTTGGGTTACGAAGCAATAGCCATGCTCTGAACATTTCACCGAGTGACATTTAATATCACTTTGTAAAAAGTACGGTACACTTGCAAACGTACGAAGACGTGACCGTCCACCTAAGCTGACAAAAAGGCAAGGCGAGGAAAGGAACCATTAGTGACCACTGGTAACTTTGGAGGAGCTACAGAAAGCTAAGGTAGAGGAGTCTTTCAACAGGGTTTGGGAGAGTGACAAGAAGAATGTCATTGTTGAAAGAAAGACACAACAGGTTTGCCTTAAGTCGCAGTAAACGTGAAAGGAAAAAAAGCAAAAAAAAAAACATGTTAGGGGTTGCAAATTATTTGTACCTTCAGACAAACTGTGAGAGCGACTGTGGAATCATTAAAATCAGATTCATGCACAATAACGGAGAAGTCAAAATCCAGACCTAATGTTATGAGTCTGTGAAAAGCTTTGAATCTAATCAAACATATATTTCAGTTTTGAAAATGTTTATTTTAGTGATTTAACAGTCTTCTTATATTAAATGCTGTTTTCATTTAATGTACATGGAAAATCCTCACAACAGGAATTTAGATTTGAAAATATGTAATTAATCTGTGCAGCTGAACTGCTGAAATAAATTAACTTTTCAAAAAAATATTTGAATATACTGTCCGAATATCCTTTTCTTGACGACTTAGAAGTTGACATACTGGCTGATCTGTCTTCATTGTGACCCTGATGAGGAGCTGCTCTCACACCGTCAGCACAAGTGTATTAAGAATCTATAAAAAAAAAAAAAGAAAAAGAAAATGCTTTAAATACATGCTTGAATTTCCCATCTATGAGGAGTAAAAGCGGCGCACACTCCAGCTTGGAGAGTCTTAAACAAACATTAGGAACAGAGTCTCCCACGACGGTGACATTCACAGAAGCATGATTCCCCGCGGTGGATTAAACAGATGTAACCCCGCCTTGATTTTCTTTTCCACACTTCTTCACAGTCCCCGCGTCTCCCGCCTCCATCAGTACCGAAGGTAACTCCGCTGCGTGCGTAAAGCTCCTGGACACTCACGCATCGCGCTCACAGTTTCAACGTCTGCTCTACTTCTTCCGAGATTAAAGAAAACCAATCTTCGGTTGACATTAGACTTACGTAACAAAAAAAAAAAAAGAAAAAAGAAAAAAAGAGAGACCAATTGTCCAGCAATTTGAAAACATTGTCGGCAGAGCTTTTTTTTTTTTTTTTTGGCACATTTTCGGATCAGCTTGAACTAAATGCATCGCACTCAAACTGACGCACTACCGATCCGGGTCGTTCAAGTTGAGAGTAAAAATGTGCAAAGAAAATAGAAGATACAGAGGGAGCTAACTGGACTTCTTTGGATTTATTTGTCGGTGCCTTTATAAAGGATTCAATCAAACTTATGGCGTGAAGGTAAGATAGTTTTCTTGTTTTTTCTTGTGCTCCAAACGTTGTTGTCGCTACAAAACTTAAAAAAAAAACCCCAACCCAAAACATACATTTAACAAAGGCTGCTTTGATGAACCTTTCATCTTGCTCTTGCAAAATTCCGTTTTCTGTGAATGAGCGAGCGCACTGACGGTTCAGGTGGGAATTTGTATGAAAGTGCTGCTTCAAAGACAGACTCTTGCTGGATGCGATACTGAGAGGAAACATTTAGGTAATTTTCTGTGGTGATCCAGGACTTCGAGGGTTTTTCTTCTTCTTCTTCTTCTTCTTCTTCTTGTTCTTCTTGTTCTTCTTCTACTTCTTGTTCTTCTTCTTCTTCTTCTTCTAAGCCTGCCTCCCCACCCTTTGCTTGTTCCCAGCTGGCAATCAGAGCTGGACTCTTACTACAGGGGTAGCGGGTCCTTAGCGCCGCAGAGACAGAGAGACTCTGCGGCGGGCAGGTGAGAGCTGCTCCGACTGCGCAACCTCCCCCCTGGTGCCCACTCTGAGCCGAGGGCAGGTTTTAACAGGCTGGAGGCAGAAGGCTACATAAATGAGAAGGAAATAAATTGATAGTTTATTTTTGCAGCTCCCCCAGAACAACTTGTGATTACTGTCAAGATTATATAAGTTTTTTTTTTTTTTTTTGATTTCATTTGAGTATTTTTAATTGCATGGAAACCTACATCCAGGTTCTTCTCTTAACAGTAAAATAGCTCTTAAGTTAGATATTTTTCCATAATTATGCCATCCTCTTGAAGGCTCTAATCATACCCGCATCACCTCCCCCTTCGCTCCTTGAAACTGGAATGTGCTTTTGAGCAGAATTTGCCCATTGCCAGTATTCTGGTCTGCACAGTTTAGCTTGCAGTAGAACCAGTTTGGGAAACTAGTGCAGATGCTGTAAGACTTTTCTTCCCCCAATAAATGAGCAAAACCCTAATTTCAATGCTTTCTGAACACAGGGAATTCATCTTCTAATCTCAGCGAAAGCATTTTCAGGTAAGTACCAGGGGATAAGCTGAGACTGGCTCCTTGCGCCCTGTGTGTGTGTGTGTGTGTGTGTGTGTGTGTGTGTGTGTGTGTGCGCGTGTGCGTGCGTGTGTTCGGTGTTTATCCGGTGACAGCGCCCAGACAAATATTGAATTCTACCCACTCCTGTCTCTTATCTGTTACTCTCCTTTGCGAACTAAACAGCTTCAACTGAGCAGCCTGATGCAGTTCTTGTCAAGACATGAATGCTTTCAAGAATTGCCCTCTTAGGAAGAAGAATTAAAGAGAGGGTAAAAATTCAGTTTCTGTTTGAGTTGTTAATTACTGCCCCTATAAAACCCGGTGCTGATTACAAAAGTACTTTTAAACCATGTAAAATAACATTATAAAAGGTGCCCTGCTACACATTTATTCTGTTTTTGAACACAATTTAGTGTCTGAGGAGGGTAATAGGAAGCTAATGGAAAGTACAATTTTGAAATGATGATTAATTTCTTAAGTGAAACCAGCTCTCCGCACCGACTTGCCCTTCTGCAGAAAAAATAATTGCCTCCCTTGACAAATCATGAGGTACTTGCGATTAACCGCATTGTTTGGCTTAATTTTAGGTCAGGCTTGATTACCTGTTAACAGGTGAAATCTCTAAGCCACTTAAACACAAAGTGTCTGCTAGTGTGAAGTTCCCTTAAAATATTTTTAAAAAGCATCACATCACACCCTGATTGAAAGAAATCGCAGAACAAATGAAAAACAAAAGCATTGTCCTCTGAGATTCTGGAATGGGTTAGAAGGGCATTTCGAAAGCTTTGGGACTCCAGCAAACCACAGTGACAAGCTATTGTTCCTAAAAGTGGCCAGCTCATTGAAAAGAAAAAACAAAACACACACACACACACAAAAAAAAACTAGGTGTTTGCTCAAAGGGCTTTTGGTTTTTAACACAGCTTTAATATTTAAATTGACACATGAACAGCTTCATGTACATCACAAATGGACTTGGCAAACAGTTGTGTATGATAGAAATTGGGTCAGGTTTGTGCTGGTACAAGTAAAGCTTTTAAAGTTGAGACGTATAAGCCTTCGAGAATGAAATAGTCCAGAAAGCTTGCCTGGCATCACTAGACAATTCAAAATGAGCTTGGACGCCCTCTGTCTTAATTTTCAATTTCCAGCGGATGGTATCTGCTGCCAACTAAAACTCCTTTGGACAAAAATGAAAAGACCTGCAGCCAATCAGAGTAACAACGTGTGCGATGAAGCGCAGGATTATTCGCTTCAGCACTGCCTCAATGTACAGTGCTATCTTTTCAAGCCCCCCTCAAGTATTAGATAAACCGCCGTGATTGCTTGCCCAGCACAAAGCGGAAATCCGTTTGAACCGAGTGAGGGCCAGCTGCAGTCTGCCGGAGCAAATAAAATATGTACTCGGATTTGCCTGTTTTTCAAGCTAACAGAAAGCTGCCTAAGCCCGTTCTGTCACCAGTGACGCGACGTCACACTGTTTTGTTCAAACGTCTTTAGCTAAAAGATGTCTCACTGCAAAAACGCTTTACTGGTTAATGTTGTCTTTGCAAGGCATGCCACTAAAGGTGGATATCTTTTGGTTTGCAGTTTTTTCATTCTCTTCTAACTATCGGATGATGGACTTCCTCGAAGTCTGCACAGTGGTGCAGCTGCTAGCACTACTGCATGTCTTTGAGAAGGTCCTTGATTCAAATCCTGACCTGGTGTCTTCCTTCCTGAAGTTTGTATTGTGTGTTTGCTCCCAGGATTCTTTGCACAACACTTTGACAATGAATGGCTAGATTAAAAAGCCAGTGAGCTTTCTATTATGAGCTTGTTGTGCTGCACATAACAGCTGTGTGGTGAGGAAAGTCGACTTTTCTATTTTTATTACAAGTATCTTATGTTGCTCTTTTTAGTGTACAAAAACACCTTTGCCACCTCAGGAGTGTTCAGGATTGATTTTATGCTACTGTTAAGGTGCTTTTTGCTCTTATTCTTACATTTCTGCACTTTTTGTGGAGCATATGTTGCTAGATAGAATTTATCACAACAGTTCCTCAGTGTGACACACACATGTGTGAAACAGACTAACCATTAAAACAGATACAAATAACTTTTATCGCAACAGTGCGCTACCGAAGTGAAAAAACAATAACACAAACAGCCCATTTAAAATTCAGTTAAAACTGTAGGCGCTTATAATAATAATAGACCTGCCTACTCTCTATTGTAACAGTCCTCTGCTAAGGTGAACACTGGTATCCACCCAATTTTCTCATGAGAAGTGTGAAAATGTTTGACAGTCAAGTGTCTCTGTTGGTACACATCACAGCTTTTACTGCGATCATATTTGCACGTGTGTATTAAATGCAGAAACACAACGCCGACGCGCACAGGAAAGCTCAAAATGCCCTAATTGGCTGTAGACACGAAAGAGCTTCATATAAATTCAGAGGTGACGTCTTAAAAACTCGTCCGAGGTCACCACCGGGGGAACTGCTAATGAACAATCTGGACCAATAAAAAGGGACGCGTTGTTGTGGAAGTGTCGAGATGAGTATTAAGCAGAGGCGATGGGATGAGGATTAATAGCAAACCTAGAGAGAAGGAACAGAAATTCCCAGGAGAGTAAAAATCCTTCCCTGTTATCTTGCTGTTGGCTCTGAATGCCTTGAAACATGAAGACGTTGACCATTCAAGACTTTATCTGAATAGTTTAAAAACAATTTTACCAGCAGGTCCCCAACATCTGAAGTCCATAAGAGGTTTACCCAATACGTAATCCCTCTAAGCGAGTGTTTACAGGTAGAAATGACCACTCATTAGAAGTGTCACTTTACATACTCAGGGTCATGAATAGTCGTCAGAAATTAGTTTTTAGCTTTCTGCTCTGTGTTGAATGATCATGACTGATTTAAAAAACAATAATGGAACGCACAAGTACAAATTAATTTTGCCTTTTCCATTCTTTACAAGGCCAAAGTTATTCATACAGGCTCACAGTACCACGAAGAAATGAATTGACATTTATACATTTGTTTGGTTTTGCTTTTTCATTTCACATTTTAATGTTTCAGAGCATTAGGGAAGTTGTTATATCAATAACAAATAAACACAATGCATCTGTGTGGAGGAATTTTGGTTCAGGTTTTCTCACTGAAGTAGTTTTATTCAACCAAATTGCAAATGTTGGCAGTTGTTTCCATCAGGGATGAAACAACCAGGCAATACCTTTAGGAGGCAATTACTTTGGCACATTGGGGCCATGTTGTTTGACATGGTCTCACTGTGATCATTAGAAAACTGTTTTTGTGTTTACTTAGGTCGCCTGGTATTAAAATAAGTTTGATAACCAGTTCAATTCAAATGTGAAAAAAGCATAAACAGTAAAAAAAAAAAAAAGAAACTCACATATACAAGGGCAAAATACTTTCTGTAAATTCTGTTACATCTCCAACAATTTTTGGTGAAAAGTTAACAGATGCTTTCTGCTGCCGCTAACAAGCTTTGGCATAATTCTGACTGCGTTTTTGACGTCCCTTTCTGGCTCTCTTGATAGAGTTATGTTAAAGTGTTTGGTTTTAGGAAAGTTAATAGTAATGTCAGCCGTTGAGCAGGAGATGGGCTACAAGCTCATCTCCTGCTCCATCCATCACAGGGTGAAAATCAAACGATTAATTTGACCCTTTCATGCATGAATTATGATATTTTGTGTCAGGATTTTTTCCCCAATTTTTTTTTATTTTCTTAAGGCATAAAAAAAGTTAGGAAAAAAAAAATAGTAAAAAAATATATATAGACTTTATTTTTTTTAGGTCATCATTTGTATTTTTCTCCAAATACAAAGTTGTTATTTGAAAAACACATCAGTAGTATTGTTCTTTAGGGGTTATCTGACGTCATAATATATTTTTTTACTTGTAAGAATCGTCTACAGTAGAAGGAGGGACCGGGTCGGTTGGCATGCTTTTCTGTCTGTCGGCCAT